TTTTTTTTTTTTTTTGTTTGCAATAGAAATGGTTTAGTGACTCTCTCTCGTTTCCACTCATTCCTCGCTTTTTTTTTTTTCATCTTTTTTATCTTTGATTTTTTCACCTTTTCTTTTACTAATTTTGTCTATTCTTTTATAAAACAAAAAAAAAAAGGTAAAAAATTAAGAAAAAAAGAACGAAAATAACAGAGTAAAAGAAAACGTTTCTCTGAAACGATAAGAGCTTTTCTACACTATAATCAAACAGATTAAAATGTGTTGTTTGCAGAAGGATTTGAAATGAATGCTCAATTTTGCTTCCTTTTTCTTCTCACATTACACTTTTTAATTTCTCAAACTCAGAACACTGGCAAAAATTTTTTTTTTTTTTGGGAACTTTTTTTTTCTTTTTGAACTTTTATCAAAGACCGTGACTTTTGTGCGACAGTGTAAATAAGTGATCTTCAGTGCACCTTGAAACTTGTCTGAATTGATGTAGAAAACAAATAACAACGACTGAAAAAAAAAAACTAAAATCAAAATGTGTTTGCTTTTAAAAAAAAAGTATTAATAGAACTTAAAAACTGAATGACCACAATTTGTTTCGAAGACTTCAACTTTATTATAGTTGGCAAATGCATAAATAAAGATCAAGAGCGCAGTTTTTAAACCGATTTTATGATTCAAAAATCAAACAAAGTTTACCACTGACGATTAAGTATTCAACAGTGTTAAGGCACACAAAAACTGTTTAACTTTACTGAACCTACTCAGCTGTCACCAATTATCATCAGTAAACTAACTCTTTTCTTCAAGTTTATACTACTGTTTCTAAATTTGCAAATTTTTTAAGCCATTACCTATAATAATCATAATGATTAATCATCTAATCAAATTTTTTTTTCTTTTTTCGGCGACATTTATTTTGGAAATAATTATTGGAAAGTAATCTGTAGTTTCTGCCCAACAATTTTTACTAGCAAACACTAATACCAGATTAAGCATCATGTAATTAAATACACCGTAATTGAAGCAATAGTATATGATCATGCCATTGTAGTCTTCTAAGGTTTTGCTTTCTTATCAATAAAATTTACAAAAAAAAACCTAGTGTTTTTTTTTCGAGATAAAGGTAATTAAATATCAGTTCTATATTCGACTTTTAACCAGGGTGACAAGTGTTTTTACATTTAGATTTGCAAGAACGGTTTTGCTTTAAACAATAGTTCAAAAATCAGGCATGGTCTTTGAGGTACCAATAAACGGGAAAAGCGCTTGCGGTAAAACTTTTAGATCAGCTTGTTATCTTAAGTTTCTTTTGTCAATACAACTTTACCTGATTTTCTCCTTTTTGCTCTATTTAATTATAACCATCAAAATGTTCAAGTCTTTTTAGATTTTTCCTTTTCGAAACTTATTTGATAATTAAACGTGTAAACGAACTAGAAAACGCTTAAAGAATAGATATTAAGGTTAGGTTCAGGTGAAATGAATAATAAAGAAAAAACCATACTTGCATAGCCGCCTCCCCAGGTTCCAAATGGAATATTAGCCAAGTTACTGACTTCGATCGTTCCTGGAATTAGTAAAAATATTTTATTTACACTAGTATCAAACCAAAATTTTTTTTCACTGGTACAAAAATGTCTTTTAAGATTTTTTTTATTGATGTTAGTATCACTACTACAGTTTTTTTGGATGAATCTATTAACAATTACTTATAAACGCTATCAAGAACAATACGACTAAATAAATGCTTTAAAAGTGTTATGAACTGTTCCTTTGAAGAAAAAAATAAAAAAAAAAAGTAAAAGAAAGAAAAAATAAAGTAGACACTTATTTGAAACATTATATTATTGTTTGATTGATAGTAGTAAAGTTGTTTGATAATCCTTAGTACCTTCATCGTTGATCGGATAATACGGAATACCCTTGACACTGAGACTACCCAAATTCAGTGTAACACTAGAGTTGTAGGCATTTGCAACTGCATAAAGCGGATCTGTTGCTGATAAATATTGACCACAATTCTTTAATAAACAAGCAAAAACTAAATTATAATTGAATATAATATGTAAATAAAGAAGGAAAAAAAAAATTTTTTTTAGCGTTGTTTTTTCATAATCTTTTAAATTACAAAATAAATTGTGCCCTAAGTTATGTTGTTACTGAACAACTGTTAATTTACTTCTTAAAAAAGAAATTCAACATTTTCTGAATGCTTACATACAATAATAATTAACTGTTTGCTCGGTAAGAAGAAGCTAAAAAAAAAAAAAGTCATTCTAGGTGTATATAGAAAAAAAAAAATTCACTGATGAGCATAAAAACAAACAGCAC